AAATGTAATGTACATACATGGTGAGGTTTTTTTGAAATGTTAAGACTGAACTGGTTTTGAGAAACAGCAGCATAAAATGACTTAAGAAATTGGCCAAATTTGGTTTTATATAATTTTAAGAACAGCTTGTATTTAAAATGTGGAAAGATGAAAACATAACATCTGTACACTAAAAACCTTTAAAATGTAAGAATAGAAATAATTTTAAATATTTAATTATTCTGCTTCTACACATTTGCCATTTTAAAAACCATTTGTAAGATTTTGGGCCCATTACCAGAACACTTCCAGCTACTAACATTGTGTAGTTTGTTCTCAGACCTTTTCCAATTATGCTTTTGATCTGCCATGTCTTGTAATATTTGTTTTGAAAAACAGATGATAAATACCCTGAAATATTCTGCCTTCTTTTCTTTAGCTTTATGGAATGTTACAATTAAGAAGTCTGTCTGAGTAGAATTGTAGGAAGCTGGACAATTGAAACAAGTAACATTTATTTCAGTTGAAGAGGACTAAATATGCAAAATGAGAGCTGATTCCAGAAGGAATTTTTTTTTTAAGGCCCAAGTCTGGGTAATCATAAAAATGTGTCTAAATTACAGGAGCTGGAACAGAGAGCAGATAAACACCAAGACACAGAAGTTTGACACTGTTAGTGGTTTCTCTGTTCAGTTTTGTAAATCCAAAATAGAGCCTAAAATTCTCTACTTGCATTTGTTTGACTTCAGCATTTAGGGCAAATCAGAGTCTGTTTTGTTTTTTTTTTTTTTCCCCATGCAAGTGGAATTCCAGTAAACGGAGATAGTCATAACTGTGAATTTCTCAGCGGTCTTCATTTTCACAACAGTTTCAGATTCATGTCAAGTTTCTGGAAATAATCCAGGAAAAGGGATAGTGCAGGGCTTAAATTATACTGCTGTGAGGAACAAATGTTTCCATTTATTTCACCAAAACAAAACCTTTGTATTTCTGCTATAGCTAAAAAAAGAAAGTAGATTACATTGTTTGCAGATTGTTTAGCCCTTTTGTCAGCTAGTGGAAGGAAAAATGAATTGGAACTTTCTAATCAGATTTACTCCCACACTCTAATGGATAAATACACTTCTGCAATATTTGGCATTCATATACTGTTTCTTTTTTTTCATTCAGCTATTTTTAAATGATTGATCAATCTTTCTACCTGAATAGTTACACTTACAATAAATAAAATTTGTCACCATAAATAACCTACTGTATATTTATCAAAGCTTCCTCTTGTGTGATACATTAACCCTTTTTAAAAGCACTTTCAGTTGAACAGTAGGTGTGCCAAATATAGAGAGAAAAGCTGGGTATTATTTATTAGACCTGTCCCAAGCACTGGTAAGCACGTGGCTGAATCCTAGATAGCACATTTTCCTCCTCCTCCTTCAGACATCGCCCTGTGGTTACCTACACTGTCATGTCATGTCCCCCCCACTCTGCACTGCTACTGCTTTTTTCAAAGGCAAGTTTGAAGTGTGTTGTGGGGTCTTTGTTGAGAGAAGACACTTTGAGATGAGCAGAATTTTTCAAGAAATGGCAGTTAAAGGACATCAGGTCATGGCTGAGGTTGAAAGGGGAGGTGACAGCAGGCCCTTTACCATCAATCCATACTCCCCTTATTTTAGGACTTCTGTAACTCTCCCTACGATCCCCTCTGTGTGAACTGGGAGCATTCCACTGCAGTCATTGCGTGTACAGTACCGTAAAACTTACGTGAAGGAGGAAGGCACTCAGTGTCCTTTCAGAGCCACTGAATCAAAATCCTTAGTTCTGGCTTGGCAAGGTCGACCCTCGCAGGGACCAGCTCCACCAGCGGGGTGCTGTGATGCACTGATGCCTTGTGCAAACAAACAGCCACATCCTCAAGTGCTGGGCCACCAACTTTTGTCAACACCATTCCTTTCGGACACTATTTGGAGTTTAACTTACCCACATTGAAGGTATAGATCAACTAAGTAGCGGTTCTTTGAATCAAAATAGGAGCTTTCCCTTCTGGAAAATGCAAATTTACCTGAAATATTTCATGCATTTGAGACCAGCTGCTGTAGCGCAAAATGTTAGTGATATATAAACCAGCCCTACGTAACAAAACAGAAAAGGTGTCACAGGGTACAGTTGTACTGGAACATGTAGACTTATGATCACAGTATATGTAATTAATTTGGGTTGAATTGCGTTTAAACTGCAAGGAAAGGGATATTAAGCCTCAGCCTTTAATAAGCGTTGTCAGATGGCCAGCCATGTAAGTACAGTGTGTTCAAAATGTATCATTAATGTGGTTCATAATGTCCATTGAAAGGGGAATGGTTCACAAGGAGTGGATATTCCTCTCATTACATCTAATGGGGTCATGTCAATGCAAGCTAATATATTGTGAATTAATGTTTTATTACCATACCTAAGAAAATGTGGTACATGTGATAGTTGGTATAACACTATAGTGTATCTGCAGAACCACAGCAACATGCAAGTTTTAACTTTTGTTTGATTGCTACACTATTATTCCTTTCAAATAATTACTGGTTTTCCAAGTGATATTTGCATGTTGCTTTTCTGCCCAGATTTAGTTCTGAAAAACAGATATGTTTTCAAACCAGTTTAGTGCAGGGAAATCAGCTACTTTCTTTGTTTGAAATTTAGATGTTTTGATATTGTTAGGCAGCACTGTTAGTGGCTTAAAATTGGTCCCCACCTGAGAGAACAAAATGAAGACTTGAGAGTAAGTTTAAGTAATCAGAGCAAGCTTTTTCAAACTACTGTAACTTCATATTAGAGTGGCAAAAAAACCCAGCATCTTTTACGTTGATGTCGTTCTGCACGTGCGTGATGAGAACTACAATATGTAAGCTTTAGAAGAAATTACTGAAAATGAAACTGGTGATTCCCTATCTCTGTGTTTTGTTAGTTCTGCTCTCCCGTGTGCAAAGTGTCGTTGCCACAGCACCTAGAAATGCTGATTACTTATAATAATTGTCCTTGTAATTTGCCTGGACAGTCCACTATTACTGTCATCCAAAATGAAAGCACTGAAATACTGAGCAGATTTTAGTCAAACTAAGCTTTTCATAAATTTCAGACGGTTGGTCATGTGCAGATATCTGGAAATGTCGTAAGGATCTTGTTACTGGATCAGTCAGGATGTTATGCCAAATGCTGACTATTAGGCTATTGATTTAATCACAGCTATTGCAACTAGCAACTCACATTGTGTGGCTGTGTGTGTTTGTGTATACACACTGATTAACTCAGAATTAACTGAATTTAAAAATTACAGGATTAGAGATGATAGTTACAGTGGTCATGTCATTTACTGAAGACTTTTTGAATGCGAGTATGCAATCAGTTGTAAGTCTGACCTCCAAATAAATAATCCTCGCTCAGACAGGCTGCCACTCATTCATCAACAAAGTGATGGGGTATCACTGAGACACTCCTTAATGAAGTGATTTTGTTGCCTTTTATCTGTGTGAAGGACAAAATGTACCAGGATTCCTGCTTAATGACGGTGTCATTTTTTTCAGTGTTTAAAAAAAAAATAATCCAGCAACAGAGAAGACTCAAACAAAATACTCATTCTGCATGTTTAAATTATAAAGCTCTATAGGTCTGTAGTGTTTAGGTCTGTAGTGTTTAGGTCTGTATTTAAAGTCTCAGGACACAAAAACATATGTTACATCAGTTCACTAATAAAAGTAAATTCATAAAGATGATGTAATTAGTGCTGTACCATGTTTGGGATTTGAAATACTTTTATTACAGCTTTTTGTAGTCCAGAGGTCTGATTTCTTTCAAATATGTACCAGGGGTTTTCTGAACACAGTTTGCAAAAGGCTTTACTTGTTTTCCAGGATATTCCCAGTGCATCCGTAAGCATATTCCTGATCTTGCTCTCCAACAGAACATGCAGATGGGAAGGCTGTGTGACATACTAGGTATGTTCTGAGCTGCTGCCTGACCATTTTTTGATTTATTTTTTTTTTTGCCCGTAATTGTGAGTAATAGAGAATGACCAATGAGGACCGTCTTTTTGTATTAATGTTAAATATAGAGAACATGTAAACTCTGAAGTAATTTCTCTGCTATGGCATTTGCTCCTGTCCGTGTTATTAATAAGAACATGCTGATTGTTTCTGACTCCGTGATAAGGTAAAGCAGCCCCATCCTGTGGCATGCTGAGCACCACAAACCATCAAAGGTGTTTAGTGTTCTACGAAATTAGGTAACTAATTCTGCTAGTGTTCATTCAGGCTCATACGGAGAGAAAGATGTGCTAGAAAAGAGCAAGCCCTTATTTAAACCTTTTTTTTTTTTTTTCTAATTGGCAAACAAGGCAAAAGGCACACATTAAAAAGTTTTACCCTAGAATGACAGTCTGCTTTTAAGCAAAGCAGTGAGGAATATTATTTGTCAATGACCAACTTCATTGGCTCCCTGGAATGACATACTTTACATGATTCATGTATATTTTAGTATCATTATTATTTTATAAATGCCATTTAGTAAGTTGGTAACAAAAATATTAGATCCAGAAATTTACAGTTGCCTAAAATAATAATGTAATTGCCTTATATATTATCTCAGCGCTAATATTGTTTTTCCACTGTACAATTTTATTTTTTTCATTTTTAAACATGGATTTTTTTTTTGTCTCTAAAATGATAGAAACTTAAAGGGACAAAGTCAGTGCATTATGCAGGCATTCTTTATCACTTTAAAATCTGTGAACACGAAAAACAGTTCTTCTGTAAAATAGACCATGAGTAAGATACAAAGTAGTTAATTATTAACTAATTTATTAACTAGATCAGAAGCTTTACCTGTGCCTGGAAGAAGAAGGTTGATATTTACCATATTGGTTTTCTTTTTCTTTAGAATACCAGAGGATTTCCTTGCTTGTTGTGACCTGCTATTAGCTAATCTGTCTCTGGAGCCTCACTGTGTCCAAAGCAGACTTGTATATCTCTTTATAGGGCAGTGCTAGGAGTAGGAAAATGTGTTGCAGCATTTTATTCAACAAATTCACTTGAGCTTGTCTATTTTTGACAGCGCAGTCCATTCAGTATTACAGCTGACTTTGGCGAGTAATCTTTTTGTACCCTAGCTGGTAAATTTTCAGGCTCATTTTGCAAGTCTGAGTAAAAGCCTAAAAGCAATGGAGTATTGACTAACAGTTCTAATGAACTGCTCTTTTAATTATTTTTAAAACTTGTATGGTAATGAACTATAAGTATATAAAGACTCTGTTGGGGCTTCAGACCCAGGGCTGATTGTTGGATGCTGTACTACTAAAATGCTTCAGCTGAGATTCTGGCCTTCTATTTTTCGTGTGGGCTGTCTGTCTGTAGCAAACCAAAGCGAAAGAGTGAGATATCTTATTCCTTTATAACCTCAGCCTCAGGGTTTCCTTTACTCCAATACTTGCTTTGCTTCTGATCCATTCATATGGAGTAGCAGTTGTCCCTGGCACTTGCGGGGCTCTTGTTCCTGTGCCCAGGAAAGACAATGACAGACTTCCTACTGATTGCAGCAGGACTTGGATCAAAATCTAGCCGTGCTTTTTGATGCTGCAAGGCCCATTAATTCATTAGCTCATCTATTAATATTTTTGAAGAGCAGAGCCGTTAAAATTCTCCAAAACAGCATATATTAAAGACTCTCGCTTTCTCACCTCTGAAGTGTTTGTGTATACACTGTCTTTCAGCCCAAGTTGTTTTACATGCAGAAAAACAGATTTTCACCCTGTGGTATTTAACTAGCTAATCTGCACACTCACATGCTCAGCAATAGTTATTAATGGTATCCTACCGTGAGCTTTTATGGGGACAGGCCAAGAATAGGAACAAGCCACGCAAAATCCAGCCAGCGTATGAAATTGCAATTTCATCAGCTTTCTAAGCTTAATAGCTCAGTTTTATAATTTACTGAAGTTAATGGGATATATTTTTAAAGCAGTGCGCAGTTCTCATCGATGTTAATGTGAATTGCGCATATAAATCCCCCGCAACACTTTCAAAATTCTGCCCCAAATATGTTCTGCAGATTGAATCCCGAAAACTAGCTATTTCTTTGGGTTGCTGACCTGTCTTCAGAGAAATGCTGAAGCAGAGAAAAAGCAATTAAACCACAAAGATTTGGGAATTGCAGATCTCATTTTTATTTCCAGTGCTCTTTAAGGGAGAAGCTGTTTGTTAACAAATGATGAGGAATTATCAGATTGCTGTTCTGAATGGAGTCTACCTTTCTTCCAGTAATGAACACTGTGCCCCTTTGTTTTAGATGCCAACGTGGACGTCATCTACATCTGCCCCCTTCATCTGAGTGAGGAGTTACTGCAGTATTACAATAAACTCCTGGGTCTGCAGGCAGCTGTTAGATCTGGGAACCCTGAGGACATGGGTGACCTGCAGGACAGGTTCAGAATTCTCACCCCTGAAGCTATAAACAGCTTCCCTGTGAGTTTGTCTTCTAATTACTACAGCTTGAGGGATGCAGTAAAATTAAATTGGAAATTTTATAACTTGTAACGCTCTGGTACCCATCAGTGAAATATTATTGCAAGTTTAAAGGCTTTACTGATTAGACTACTAGTTAGAGCATGAGAAATAAATATCCCGGTTTAGCTTTATAGACTTAGTTGAGATAGTCGTATATTGGCTATTTGCAGACCACTATCTCTTCTTACTACGTGCTTGGGACTGGGAACTTGATAGATTTATCTCTCTAAGCAAATTGTAGCAATAAACCATTCTTATTACTCAAACTTTATCTCTGGGTAGCGCAGCATTCGATCATTCATGTGTATGTAATGTTTCTTGCAATTAAATCCAGTGCAGAACTTCTTAAAGAACAGAACTTAAAACTGCTAGGGTTAGGTAATGGAGAAATATTGGTTCCCAACCTATCAAGTCAGTTTTAAATACATGTGCTAAAACATGATCTAGAAAGAGACCTTAATTAACTTACACAACACAGAGTGTTTCTGAAAATACTGCGGTGCAGTGAAGACTCTTTCCAGTTGGAGAATAATTTTATATTGGAAATATTAAGTCCACAGTGTCTCAGCTGAGATTTGATTTTTTTTAAACTTTGTGGTACATTTGTATCTCTAGGGTCTGTGCTTAAAGCCCTGCTCCTCCTTTTTATATAATTAATAACCCTCTTTGTTAAACAAGTATTTGTTACACCTTATACTGATTGAAACTGATGGCTTCAGAAGGTAAAGAAGCTTTTTATATTTCGTAAAGGTGTTGGTTTTCAAATGTAGTTCTACAGTAGCGTGCTGTTCGGGGAAACACTTGTGTTTAGGTATGAATCCATTTCTGCTGAAATAGTCTGAAAACACCTACGTGCAAAAAGTGCTTAGCTCTTTTTCTGTATAGGGAGGGATCCCTGAGTCAGAGCTGGCTGATAGTTTTGCCGTAGTTAAAATGAATTTTGGAGATATGAAAATGTTCTGTTTTCCTGAAGTTGGAAAAAAGCATCGAGATGATATTGGTGTTTGTAGGACCTGGCTGTTCTTTAGTATTGTCCTTTTATCTGAATGCTGCAAACCTGCAAGAATCACAGCTGCCTGTGCTGGGCCCTCAGCTTGTAAAGTAAAATTATTTTGATGCTAAATCCTTGACAAATACCAGCGATATGTTTAGTGGTTTGTGGGTTTTTTTTTTCTTCCTTGTAAATTGCACTTTGACACTTTGTTTTTTCTCTGGATACTGAGTTATTTTTCCAATACTAACTACCAAATATTGGAAGCTTCAAGAAGCTTTCTACATAAATCATGCTAAAAGTATCACCTAAAACTGGATAAAAGATGTGCTGCTAAACATGGACAGGCTGTCCAAGAATGGAGAACATCTTTCATGGGTGATTTTGGTCATGGTGAAATAGCTGAAGTAATTTTAATGTAAAAGCAGGTTGTTCTCAAGTGTGCATCTCTTGTGTATAGCTTTCCCTCTTCCAATTACTCTTGAACTATTCAAAAAAACCCCTTTCTTTTCCAGAAAGGAAAGAAGAACAAACAGCTTTCTGAAAATTGACTATGCAGCTATGATTTCCTGGGAGAAGTTCCATGCTCTGATGTAGGGAGTTTCCTAGCTGTTTTGATGGAACTGGATGGAAGGAGAATCTGTGGAAAATACACCCAGACGCAGGCAGACCTGGGCTTGTTGGTGTCTGCAGAGAGGAGGCAGAGAGAGACTGTGAGAAAAGGGTGTCCATATCTTGTTGTCTGTATCCTGTTGTCCATATAAGCGGTTGCTGGCTATTAGAATGACCTCTTGGGACTCGGTGCATCCAGGTGCAATGTGAAACGCTGCTGACAAAGGATTACACCATCCTGATTCTCAGCTAGCAGCGTATCAAAACAGCGTAGTGGTAGCTTTGCTCATCATAGTGAGGCTGATGCCAAGGTCAGCTTCACTGATCTTGAGAAGTTTAAAAACAAAACAATACCAACAGGCTTGAGAACCAGGAGCTAGCCTTGCAGTTAACCTACTAACGAGTATTCTGTGCAGTCATACTGGAATCCTGAGGATTCCTCAATTCTCCTGCTTCTACCTGCTTTTGCTCACACTCCTATATATCATGGCAGCTGTACCACTCTCAAAGCAAG